TCATGCCCTAGAGCTCCCGTGGCATAAAGCTGAAGCCAGGACCACTTCCTGGCTTATTAGAACCTCTTGTGGAATTCACCCTGTTTTCCTCATCCCCCCTTCTGTGAGAGCACTCCCCCAAGAAACCACATGTACCCGAATACCTGCCTCAGGCTCTGCCTCTAGGGAATCTTACACAGGTGCATCCCACTGGGCACCAGGCATTCTTTGCGTCTTCACAGAGGCAAGTGAAATGGGTGGCATTACCCCAGTTTCACAGATGAACAGGCTGAGGCTCAGGGAGGAGAATTCAGGGCTAAGGACATGCAGCTGATAAGCAGCGGGGCCAGGGTTGGCATCTAGGGGTGTGCCAATGCGCTCTTTGCGTGGCCCCACTGCCAGTGCCTCTCTGTACATGCCGTGGCCTCTCATTCGGTGCCGAAGTAAATAGCCCAAGGTTTGCCTTACAGTGAGGCCTGGGTATGAGCAGGAGATGGAGGGAGCCTTGGGAGGTTGGCTTCTCTGTGGCCCTGCTCTTGGGCAATCCATACAGGTAAGACTGTGTGGGCTCCAAGAAGGTCTAAGGGAGCAGGGACCAGGGGGTCTTGAGGGGGGTGGGACTGTGACTGTCCCCAAACCCATTCCTGCACGCAGAGCTGATTCCCTTTAAAAATGTACTTTTTGAACCTTTACCCAGGTTTGGTGTTTTTTTGTTTTTTGTTTGTTTGGTTTTTTTAATCCAAATTACATTTTTCTCCCCTGCAGCTCTTCCGTGGACACATCCAGAAGGAACCACACCTAGGTTTGGGTCCGTATTTTAAAGGGAACCAGAATACTTGGGTGAAGCAAGACAGAGAGAGCAAGTCCAGAGACACCATCTTCTGATGTGCAGCTGCTCACGGCTGCCGAGAGCTTTGAGGCTACCGTCCAGCTGGAACCTCAGTTACCCTTATACACATTTTACAGCCGGGCCTCGGGCCCCCTTAGGGGTCTGCCAAGTCCAGGATCCCTGATTGCAGGCAGGGGGAGTGGGCTTAAGCTGTAGCAGGAGGGAGTCAGTGCAGTAAACAGTGGCAGAAACACAGGCCCCACACCCCAGGTGAAAGAGGCTAAAGACCTTGGCCCAGACAGAGTGGCGGAAGGGTGAGAGGTGAGTGACTGGGGAAGCCCGGGCTCCAGGGCAGTCTTCCAGAAGCAGGATCTTGACAGGGCTGTTGAAGGTTTCCCAGCTGAGACTTCACCCATTAAGGTCCATGTCAGGAACCTCACTCTTCAGCTAGAGGAGCTTTCTGAGTGGGAGGTTTCTCCAGTGGAACCCACCAAACTCAGAGCCCCGGCCTTGGGGCCACCTTATTTACAGTCGCTAATGTTCACCTGCCCTGTGACATCCTGCCCCGGGTGGTGGCCTTTCTCAGATGCCAAACAGTGACTTAATGGTTACCCCAAGACTTGCCCGCTTCTCAATGAAGAAATGTTGGGAGAATTCAAGGATAAGACATGTAGGCATTTGGGATGAGAGAAAGCATTCAGGAATTTTGGGAGTAAGTTCTTCGATCCATCATCCTGGGAAGGACGTGTGAGCTGTTATCTTGGGGACCCAGCGATGTGTCTTTAAGGACAGCCAGATTACCATATCTCTAGCTTTCTGGACCACCTTGTAAACTTGACCTTCGGCAATCTTTGCACCACTGCTCCTGGAAATTGGAGGAAGAGGGGTTTACTGCTTTCCAGGCAGGGTCTGTGTTGGGGAGAAGAGCTGGTCAGCTCTGCAGTTCTGGGTTTGAAAAGACACGAGTCACAATGGAAGTCCTAGTGAGCACTGTCCTGTTGGAGCAATAAGTATGTGCTGCTTCTTCCAAGCTCCCCTAGTTACCAGAAGTGCGCTCTCAGGCCCTAATGAGAACCCCCAAGGATTTATAAATTTTCCCTGGCCTAGTTGGAACTGACTCTCTGAAGGCAGAAGAGGTTAAAAATGTGTTTTAAGCTTCAAGCAATTAGAGCAACCTTGCAGAACCCCTGGCACCAAGAGGATTTACATTGCATGTTATCTAATAGCCACATGATCAAGTTCAGTTGAGAATCCCAGCTCTCAGGGACATCTGGTTCTCCAGAAGAGCATCTTCGGGTTTGGGACTCAGAGAAGAGCGTGTGATGCTTGGGACCCAGACCTGGCCGGAAAAAATATAATCAGGACATGAAAGCGTTTCAGAACGAGAGGCTGGTGCTCCTACTTTAAAAACATTCCCTGAAGGCAGGCTTTGGATAGAGAGAGGTCACACACACAACGTCAGTCACAGGAGGCCCTGGAGGAGACAGCAGGCCCCTTCTACTCCAGCTAGCAGTGCATCATGGGAGTAGGAAGGCTGGAGAACCTGGTGGTCAACAAGGGCAGAGAGTCTCAGGACGAGCTGCATCACCTCTTCTGGAAACTTGTTAGAAGTGAACCCTCCGGCCTCCACCCCGGGCCTGCTGACTCAGAGGTGCTGGGGGTGGGGCCCAGCAACCTGTGTTTCACTGTTTCTGTGGGAGACTGTGATACCCACTCGTGTCTGGGAACCACTCTTCTACCTCAAACAAAAGAACTGGATCCGGCCTGCAGATGCATTTTTATTGACTGGGATAGTGTTTAACATTTTTTGAACTGATTTCCAATGTTTCAAAATGGGTATTTTTATATGAAAATCCACATTTCTGGCTTTTCTTGGGGAAAAAAATAGGAAGACCTAGCCCCAGGGGACTCACATACCTGCTTGGCAATAATTGTCTGGAGCTGAGGAGAGGCTAAAGGTCTTAGAAAGGGCATGCGCCCTCCTGGGGGAAGGGGTCCCTCATCAGCTATCTCGCTCGCGGATTCACTCTTTCCCATCTGGAGACCTTTGAGCCATTGGCCCGTGACCTAGATAATGTCTAGTGTCACCTCAAGCTGAATTTCAGTCATCACGCATTTGCTGACCACGTACATGATAGGATGGGCTTTCTGCCACCCTCATAATCCTCTTCCTCACTGACTCTTATTCTCCCCCGTCCACCCTCAACTCCCTCCACTGTTTGCTAAGATGGGGAAAAAAGAAGACGTGCAATGAGGGCAATACCTAGAGTAGAGCCATGGGAGTCAGTTAATGCCAGGCAGAAAGAGGTTTATTTGTTTCGCGTGCACTATCCTCTGATCTCACCCTTGAGAAAGTGAACTCACTGTCACGGTCAGAAAAGAAGGGACAGTGGCCTTCTGTTAGGTGTGGACAGGCTTTCATCGATGGCTTGGGGGTCATCAGGGGTGGGCAGGTTCATTTGCCAGCTGGGATGACCTAAGACAGTTGACACTCATTGACTGCCTCCTCTGCGTCAGACACTGAGCTGGGCTCGGAGGCCATACAAGGTGGCAGTCACCCTCTGTTTCTTTCTTTTGGAGAGGGCTGGCAGGGTCAACAGGTAAGGGTCAGTCCATAGTGTCAACCCCAAACACAGAGTCCTAACCGCCCCCTTGCTGGTGGCAGATCCTTGACCCTTTATGTCATTTCTGCAGCCGTTTGCCGTGTCCCCTTTTACAAAACGTAAATGTCTCTCCATGGGTTCTGACCCCATGTAACTCTTAACTCTGTAGAGGGAAGGACTAGCTTGGTGTTTCTTCCATTCTGTCAACCGGTTATCAAGCAAGGGGCACGTTTGGGGGAAGAAATAAGAATAAAAAAATTGGGAGTAAGGGGGGGTCAGTAGAGCAGATGTGTGTGGGAAGGGAGGAGATGCTGGTAAAATGTGCTTGGCGTTTCTAGACCAGCTCTGACTTGAGAGCCCAGGGCATTCTCAACTGAAGAGAAACCTCATTTCTGAACACGCATTTTCTGAAGGCAGCTGGTGAGCCGTGCGCTCACTGGGCCTCCCTCTCCATGGGGACCCAATGACACTGGAGGGGAATTGGGCAGAGTAGTAGCAATGCAGGATTTTTCTGACAGGTGTATGTTGCCGCTGACTACTTTCTGGGGCCTGCTCATTTGAGGATGCAGGGGTGAAAGACGGAGGTCCTGGGGGGCCAAGTTGAGCTATAGGAGATGGGGGTGTTACCAAGAGGCTGCGTGAGGATTTTGGGGGGAAGCTGAAGGCAGGCCTGAGGTGAGGGGAGGGGAAAGAGAAGTGAGGAGTGAAGAAGAAGGCAGGACGACCGAAGACTTGGGGCATCCATTATGGTGTTCCTTTGAGCGGGACTTGATTCTCAGTTTTAGCAGCTCTTGAATGAAGCCTGCCTTCCAATAGGACACACTCTTCCGAAGGGATGGGAGGTGGGAGAGCGGCGAGAGGGAGTAAGAATCAGGAAATTTAGTCGTTCAGTGTAAGCCTCACCTCACCCTTGCAAAGTTGTGATTATAGTTCCATGTGGCCTAGATATCTGCTGACCTCACTTTATACTTTGACATCTAAACAGAGATGGCTTTGCCCCCAATCCCCACCCAGTCCACTCAGCAAGCTGTCTGGGATGTCCTGGGCTGGGGTGCTTATGGTCACTTCTGAACTCCCATTTTCACCCCCACTTGCCTTCTAGGGTCACTTTTCCCTTTGCTCTGCGCTGACCTCACTCCTTGTCCCCACGCCTGGCCTCCTTCCTGCTCTACCTGAACCACTTTTTGTGTGAATGACAGGTTTTATCAAAAGTTTGGGAGCAGCAGATGGTTTTTCATCACAAAACAGCATGGCATGATACTAGATATTCCTGGCCTTAAAAATCCTGTCGTCACCAGACCAGCTCCCACTCTCTCTCTTTCCATCTCCTTCTCTCACCTCTGTCTGCACACCTGGTTCTCTCCCATCTCCATATATTTCTGTTACCTTTGTAGTGCAGAGCATATTCGCTGTCACCTTGTTTCACTATTTCCTTGCAGACCATTTTCTGGGGGCCTCTCCCTCTTTACCTCAAGCGACCCATCGCAGTAATTTCCTGGACAAATATGTAAAAGGGATGCTCGCACCAGCCAAAAGAACTTCTTTCCCTCTGCTACAAACATTTTACAGTGGAAGACTCTGAGGCTCCAAGAAGTTAAGCAACCTGGGCAGGACCACAGCTTCTGGGGAGACTCCTGAAGGGAGTTCCTGCCCCCCAGGAAGCTGGAGCTTCAGAGGGCCTGGCCTTAGCTGGTGGGGTTCTCGTCCTGCGATTCCCTCTTCAGAACATGAGGCTCCTCTCTTCCCAGGGCTCCCCCTTTTAAAGCAGGGTCGTGGAGGGAAGGCTCTGATGGGGCCAGCAATCCATTACTTGGCTCTTTCGGGGGAACGCCCATGGATATTAGGTAGAACCTAAGTGCTGCACTGTCAGCAAGTTCAGCGGTAGCCAGTCCAGCACACATTGTCAGCTTAACACACCACCGGGTACATTGTACCTCATAGCTCAGAATCAATCAAGTCAAGGCAATTTCCTTAACATGCCATCAATAAAAGATTATGGACGGGGGGGAGGGCTTCCCTAAGAAGCTAATGCCTTACTAAAGTTCAAATGAGGCACTATATAGTAAAATAAATTCAATCTCTATTTTCACTCCTTGCAATTTTAGTGGAGGCTAAATGAAATGGAACCGTGTTGATCCTAACCCGTTCAATATATCTTCACTTCCTAAGAACCAAGGTCATTTTTACCTTCATGGGAAGGGAGGCCAAAATATAAAAATACTCACCCATACCTAATAGAAAGGCATTTGCAGGGCTTTGAAAGCCAGGTAGATGACTGATATATTATGTAATTCGTTTCATGGCATAGCTGACTGTGTCTTATAGATAGTGTTTAACCTTGCCAATTCTGCTCTGAGATAACCCTCCTCTGAGGATAAAAATCATATATTTAACATAAAAGGAAAAGTTGGGAGAGAAAAAGCTGCATAATGTGTTCCGTACAACAGAACCAGAAGTTGCTTATGCAGAAAGATGATCTGAACAAGTATTTTGTGCTTTGCCTTATTACCATGTTACCATTATACTAATCAGAAGTGAGGTGAAAACCACTTAAGGGGGACTATGTTCCTGAATGGCAAAATATATCCACTGCTGAATGCAAGGTAGTGTGTGGGCAACAGCATAGACCCTAGATTGATCCTGTGCGCTACTGCATACATGGTCTGTGACCTTGGGTATTTACTTAACCTCTTTAAGCCTCAGTTTCCTTGTCTGTGAAATGGGCATAACAACAATCACTATAGCAGATAATGCTGGTTATTTATTCATCACCCATTTTCCTTCTTCCTCCTTTCCAACAGAGCCCCATTTTATTCACACTTTCTCAACCTCTAATTCTATAGAGGACTCTTAAGTCACCCTAAGTGGTACATATCAGTCCCTGGCATCTGTTATTGGTCCAGGGAAGGGCACATGATGCCAAGTGGTCCAATTGGATGGAAGGGAAGACACTAACTCTCTTTTGTGGGTATGAACAAGGAAGCACATTGTCCTAAGACCACTGGTTGCCATCTTTTAATGTCATTTTGACCTGAGATTTCCTGTTACAGGCATTCCAAAGCATTCTAACTGATAAACTATCTTAGAGGAAGAGTGTTTCCAGGATCAAGGGGAAGATTCCAGGATACAGGGCTAACCAATGGAGATTTCTGTGATGATGGAAACAGTTGACATCTGCACTGTCCAATACAGTAGCCACTAGCCACACGGCTGTGGAGCATTTGAAATGTGACTAGAGCAACTGAATAAATGAACTTTAAATTTTATTTAATTTTAATTAATTAAAATCATATATTTAAATAGCTGCCTATGGCAATTGTGTTGTACAGCAGAGATCAAGAAAATGATCTGGAACGTAAATGGGGGTCAGTGACTGTTGGCTTCTCTTCCTGTGCCCCTCACACCCTCTCCACAGGACTCTGAAAACTCGTTTGTCACCAACTACTAAACAGGTAGCACCAAGGGCAGCAGGCATTCATTTTGAAGATAAAGAGCACCAAAGGTTGAAAAAAGAACTGGATTCAAGAGGCAGACCTGCGTCGATATTTCCAGAAACAGCGTCTGAACTTTGTTCCTTGCCTAGTTACCCAGTGAAGCCAGGGTGCTGTGTTGTGAGAGGCCTCAGAAAGCTGGTTCTTGCCAGTGTATGCCTGCGGGCAGGATTAGATGTTGGCACACAGGTAAGTGCTAACTTAAGACTTACTAGAACACTGCCAGGCAACTTCACAATCCAGTGGGTATGATCAAGATTTCCTGAGGCCCCTTGTCTTCTGAGGGTCGATGTTTATGAAGCACCCAAACCTTAGCGGGTGTGTCTCATGCTGTGACCAGTGTAGCACCCATCCTGGCAGGTACTGTCACCTCACCAAATGACCTTTGGCGGGACTCCTAGGCTGCGGGAGCTGGGCTCCTTCATTGGGTGACAGAGCGAGGCTTGTTTTTTATGACTCTTATTGCCTTGGCTGTCACCCACCCCCACCCTTCATCTTTATTCCTATAACAACCTTCTCCTCCCCCTTATCTCCAAATGACCCACTATCTGGAAGCTGTTTTGTTGTCAGAAGGGAAACAGTAGGGTCCTTATAACCCAGGCCACTGAAATATCAATGTCCGGCACGGTATTATAAAAACACAAACAAACCCAAAAACCCTTACAGAATCCCCCAGTCCTACCAAGGATGGGTACAGTGTGCCCGAAGACCAGCTCAGTCCTACAGGCTCTATAGGGAAAGGGTGCTCTTGTTGGCTCCCCAGTAGACAAGCATATTGGATTCAGAATTATCTGCATTTGGGGGGTATTTATTCTCTTTGAAACTTTTTTTTAATTGAGATGTAACATAACGTGCACAGATCTTAAGTGTACAACTTGATGAGTATTCTCATATGCTATATACACCACGCAGCCCCACCTAGAATCCCAGGCCATATCTTCCTCCCTCAAGAGCAATCCCTTTTCTGATGTGTATCACTATAGATTGGTTTTGCGTGTTCAAGAACGTTGCATTAATGGAATCCTACAGTTTCTCTCGCTCAGCATTATGTCTGTGAGATGCATCTAGATGGCCGCATGTAGCAGAAAGCATTCTTTTCCATTCCTGTAGTATGCCATTGTATTGAATATGCCAGAATTTATTTATCCATTCTACTGTTGCTGGATATTAGAGCAGTTTCCAGTTTGGGGCTATTATGAATAAAGCTACTAGAATACAAACATCCTTGTACGTGTGTTTTAGGGTACACACTCCTATGCACTCACTTTAGTTGGGTTTATACCAAAGAGTGGAATCACTGGGTTGAAGACTATGTACATTTAGCTTTAGTGGATAATGTCAAAGTTTTCCAAAGTGATTATGCTAATTGATACTCCCACTATTATGCAGTACTAGCAGTGCATAAAAGTGTCAGTTTCTCCACATCCTTACCAAAATTCAGTAATGTCAGCCCTTTTAATTTTAGTCATTCTTCTATGCTTAGCGATTCTTGCACAACTGTATTGCCAGACTTTGAAGCTCAAAGTCAGAGATTGGCACATGTGGCCAGTCGGACAAACCCAGCACGTTGTCTGTTTTGGTAAACACAGTTCTATAGAAACACAGCCAACCTCCTTCATTTTGTATTGTTTATGGCTACTTTTGCATTTACACAGCCACATTGAATAGTTGCAACAGAGGCTATATGGCCCATAAAACCTAAATAAAATAAGATAGTTGGCCGTCTATAGAAGAAATTTGCTGACTCCTGCTTAAAATAAGCGAGTCTTGGAAACACGGTTTCAGTAACCATTGTAAAACCCTTGGTTGCTATCTTCTTGGCTTTATTTGCCAGTGGGGCAGTAATAGGGCACAGCTACCCACCTGGTATGCTTTGGTGCCCTGGTGCTAGGATGGTTACAAAATGCTGGTTTATTGATCCCCCCAGCCCTCAGAGCAGCTGGACAGAGCATGTGGCCTTCGAGTTCCCAGTCTGGTTTGCTCTGGTTTTGAGCAGCCTCAGTGGCTTGTCTCAGTCTGTTGTATCAATATTACAATTTTCTGTGTGTGCTATGGCTTGTAATAAATAGGTTGGGACTCTCTAAGCCAGGAGTTCATACCAGCTGTCTTTATTTTCTCAAACCTGTTCCCTAGCACCCTGCCAACTGGCTTCTACCTGTCTGCTCACGGAAATCACAAATCCGGAGCTTTTTTCTCAAGTCCTCGTTTTTCTTAGTCTCTCTGTGGCACTGTTCGCTTCCTTTTCTTTAAAATACTTGCTGGCCTTGCCTGTGTAATAATTATAATACTGATTAGCATCCATGGAGTTCCTCCTACAGGACATAAGATTTATAGATGGCGTCTTAACTGTTTATCACAACAGCTAGACATAGTAAGTATTGTCATCCCAGGTTTACATTTGAGAAAACGGTTTCAGCAAGTCCCCATTCCCGGCTCGTGAAGTGGAAGAGCAGGGATTTGAAACTTTGTGTATGGAACATGACTGTTAATAGTCCCCAGAAGGTCAAGGCTACCTCCAACTGCATGATGCTGTTGCTTTTTTGCTGACCTTAAGGACCTCTCTTTTGTTTTTGGCTTTTGCTCCTTTTGCTGTCTCCTAACTCTTATTTCCCCCAAGGCTTAGGTCTTAATGTTCTTTTTACTACATACTCTTTCCCCCAAGGTTTGGCTCATAGTTTCAGTTTTAACTTAGATCTTAAATGTGAATGAATATTGCGTTTTTTGAGGACGCTCTGGAGGCTTTACATGTGGTATCTCATTGACTCCTCAACATAACCCTGAAGGTCGTTGCTGCACCCACTTCACAGGGCAGGAAATTGAAGCTGAGAGGAATGCATTGACCTGGCTAAAGGCCACTCAGCTGGAGGCTGATGAGACAGGGCAGCTCAGTCCCAGCTCTGCTGTGACCCCAAAGCCCATGAGTATCTAAGATGCTCCCTCCCACTTGAATTTCAGGTCAAGACCCTCAAATGCCTCCAGGGCATGTCTGCTTATAAATTTCAAGACCTTGAACACGACATGTCTAAAAACAAACTCATTGTTCTCTCTTCCTGCTCTAGGCCAGTTCAGCCTTATATACTCCCTGTTTCTGAGGAAGGACGTTGTTCTCTTGGGGACCTAGGTTGAAATCTGTAAGTCACCTTGGATTCTAGATTCTCCATTCTGTACTTACAAGCTGCCACCCAACCCCACCAGGCTCTGACTTCTCCTATCTACTCATACTTCAGGCAATCTTTTTTCTCCTTCCTGATACCATGCACAGCCATCTATTGGGTTGTCAGAAAAGTCATGGCCCATTTTTGCAATGAAAAACATAGAAGAAATACATCATGACTTTTCCGACAACCCAGTATAGATCACAGCCCCTTTCCCCGAGCCCCCAGCTCCCCTTAGCTGGCCCTTCCTACTAGAACTCAGTGCAATGCCTCTGTGCAATACCACTCACCTGCTTTCATCCATCTGGGTTCATACATTTCCTACCAGGGCAGGTAGACCATTCAGTCCCATCTGTCATGGTGGCCCTCAAACTTGGCTGAGACTCAGAATCAACTGCAGCCTTTTATTATTATTATTATTATTATTATTATTATTATTATTATTAAGTGGAATTTTGACTGGAGCATCTGATTCAGTGAGCCCAAAGTAAGGTTAAGAATTTGCATTTTCCACAAGCACTTCTAAGAATGTAATGCAGGAGGCCTGCTACCTCACTCTGAGAATACTTGTCTGGCACAGCCCTTCTTTCTCAGATAAGAGAGCTGCAGCTTAGAGCGAGGAAGCTGGGAGGACACCTGACTGGAGATTCACATGTTCCTTGTGCCGCTCAACCCTTATCTCCTGCTCCTCTTTCACTCTCCTCTGAGTCCTCCCATGCTTCCTTTGCACATATTGAGGGCTCCGTGGTTGTAGAATGAGTGATTGAATGAATTTCAGAGGACTTTGTCCTAGTATCTCAGTTCCTCCCTGGTTGTGAAGATAGGAGACACCGGTGCAAGCTGCATGAATCTGCCTCTCGGTAGGATTTCTTAGGTACAAAACAGTGAGGCTGAGGGACACTCTACAAAATACCTGACCAGCACTCCTCAAAACTGTCACAGTCACCCAAAACGGGGAAAGTCCGAGAAACTGTGACAGCCAGGAGGAACCTAAAGAGACACCACCACTAATGTGATATGGTATCCTGGGACAGAAAAATGACATTAGGCAAACCCTAAGGACATCTTGGCGTTAGATTCTAAGGTACCAGTGTTATCTTCCCTTTAGTACACAGATGGGACATGGGCCTTCCATCACAACCTCAGTGTTCAGCATCTTAGCCTATTCATAACGTTCATGCTGGATGTGTTTACAAAGAGGGACACCAGCCCGAGGACTGCTCTACCGTGTCCATTTTCTCAAATGGGTGCCCATGAAGATCCCGTTGTTCTGAAGTCCTGGATGACACAGGTGGCCACTGAGAGAAGGAACTGTGGCACTGAGAGCTAGTGGAAGGATGGCACAGTAATTTCCCCAGAACCTGGTGCCCAACCCAGCGCTGACACCCATCTGCTGTGTGACCTTAAGCTTGTGTTACTTTCCTTCTCATAAGTTGAATGGCGGTGACAGTAGCCTCCTTGCAAAGCTCCCATGAACCCCCCGGTGACTGTAGAAGCACAGTGGACACTCACTCCTGGAAGATGGTGCTTTGCTAAAGACACT